AAAATAATAATTTACATGAGCAAGAAAAAAGAATTTAATTTTTCGGAGCATGTCAGAAAAATTAGCTTATCCAGTACATTTTTCTTTTTTTTTGATTGGGGAACTCCTCGTAATTTTTTTTTTTTGCTATTTTATAATGCAATAAAACTAGTACGCGCCTGAGGCACTGGTAAGAGCATGCGTTTCTGCACTGCTACATTTAATAGATATATGCTTCTGAACTTTCTGAAATGTGTTTTTGGTTCTGAAGTGTCTTTTGTATCGTTAAAAAGTTGTTTTTGAGTTGCTACAGAGTAACACAGATTTTTATAGCGTTTTTTAAAATTCTTTTAGTCTTCTTTGGTTTCAACTACAGCTTTTGTCCTGAAAAACTATGAGTTTCTTTCAGCTTTATTCTTTATTAGGATGAACCAGCAATTTTAAAAAATTTTCTGTATGGCGAGCCAACCGAAAATTTTAGGTTTCTGTCATTAATAAACACAGTTTGCCACGGTGACATACCCGAAGCAAATTGGGAACCAATTGCCTTCATGTGTGATGAGAAGAGCCAAGTCATCTGCCAGGGGCGGAAATAAGAAATTAACTAAAAAGGCTCAAATATCAAGCTTGGAGCACAAAAACTCAACCGCACGTCAAAACAGACACGATATCAGCTGGAGAATGCAAAAAAGCACTCAAGAAGAAGAGCATGAAAAAAGAAATGTTCAGTTTAGCGCTCGGATAGTTGGAAATGTCGCAGTGAGTTGCAAATTTACAAAAATTTTAGTTGCACGCCCTCTCACAGAAGCTGAATACAGACAATTGCGATGGCAGTAAAGAACTGAGAAAAAAAAAATTTGTCATTTGGCTTTCTTTGGCAATGAGGTAATTATTATTCCTTTTGCTCTTCTCGCTCCACAGATATGTAAGTAAACAAGCATTAGTGGTCACTAGTGGCTAGCAAATGCGTCAGCCACTGAGAAGACATGCCAGTCCTCGAATTCTATCTAATGGTTGGGGAAGTAGAACTGCATGTTGAAAGCGAAATTTAAAACGCAGAGCGTCTTTTCTGGCTAAAAAAATGTCAGTCTGCGCTTGCTAAACAAACGGTTTGTTGCTAGGAATTTCAAATGTATGAGCTCTTTAACTACATTGCTCTCTTGTTACTTGGCAAAAAAAAAGCTTCCCAGACTCTAAAAGCAAAAAGTTTCAGTTATGAATTATTAGGTACAATAAAAAATTAGCTGTGGTGACGCCATCACTATTTTTTGTTATTTGCTGGATTTAGTCAAATGGGAAGCTAAAGATCACATTCACGCTCAATACGTGCTTGTTTTTTTCCGGCCTCTGGCAAATAATGTGGAAAAACAATTTACTGATCTTGAAATTGCCATTTTGATTGAAAGGACAAGCTCGATGTTTTTTTTTTTTTTTCCAAAAATGCCATTTTGACTTGTCTGAATGCTGCAATTTGGTTTACACAAGAATTATTGGTCCTGGGAGGGACAACTGTAATCACTGCTATTGGAGGGAACTGGTCTTTGTCCTCTCTCAGAAAGAAATTTCACACTGTCAAGTAGAAGAATCCAATGAAATGTCTGGGCATCTGAAAGGCAGAAAAGAATAAAAACGGAAATGCAGAGAATTCGTCAGAAGCTCCTGAGTAATTTTACTGCATAAAAACTTATCCCTGACTGTTCCTGTTTTGTTAAGCAGTACGAAACTATGCAAAATCTGAACCTAATATTTTTAATAATTCGGGATTTAACACAAAAATTGGCATACGAAATAAGGTCAGAAATTTCATTTACGTACTTCACAAAATCAAAACAAACAGCAATTCGTATAGACGGACCAGCCTTAGTGTGAGCTCCGTATAATTACTTTCACTTCTCTAACATAACTGTAAAGTAGTGCTCACGTTCTATTTGCTCAAAAGTACTAGGCTTATCTTCTTCTTAAAAACGGTTATTTAGCACTTCAATCCCACATATTTATGCATTATCCTGGCGGACTTCCTGCAGTTGCAAGTGGCGCTGCGTTAGTGTTACGTGTCTAGAATTCGATTTCTTCAGGTAGAGCAACATTCCTTTTGAAAAATAGCCACTGAGCTCGTGGTCACTGATGACAATTGCTACCACTCGGGCTACTCCTGAGCGCTTCCGTCTCTCGTACAGTGTCAATACAGAGAGGATCCTTGACTCGGGTGCACTACTTAATAACATTTCTATCAAAATTGTTAAAATATAATATGATATAAAAAGGTGACGACTACTCGGGCAGCTTCCGAAGGGGGTGGCGTAAATCGAACATGTGGTGAGTACTAGCTGGTGATGTGCATCTCAGATTCGGAGGTCCTAGAATCATTGCGATGGACATGCGAAGCGTTCTAGTAGCTGCATAAACACAGGATCCCTACACTGACTGTTCGGGCAGTCTCGGACAGTAAAAAAATCTCTTTCGTCATGCTCTTTCAAAAATTTGCTAAAAGAATCCTCTACAATAGTACTTCAAAAATATTCTCCATCTCGAATGCGCTTCACTGGCAACTCTGAAAAATGCGAATTGAATGTGCTTTTGTGTCTTGTCTTTCCTCCACTCCATTTCGGCGTCATTCGAAATTTCAGAAGCACTGTTCTGTCCGGGAAAAAACCTACCGCAATGCATTTTCCTGTTCTAATAATGCGTATATCAGAATAGTTTCTAAGAATCTGCAAAACCCGTCAACTTTTTTTATGAGCTGCGAGGAAAGTCTGCATTTCAAGCGGAATCCTAGTAGTTCCATCACAATTCTACGCTTGGCGAACAGAATTGTGATGGCGAACGAATAAAGTGACTGCAGTTTGAAATCATTCACCACAAAAACCTACAATGTATTAAAGGAAAAGTAGTACTGCTGAATTCAACTTACTAAGGGCGCTCAGCTCATTTTACTAGTACTGGAAGAATTTACGGAAAAAGCTTTGGAAGTAAATTGGTTTGTGGAGCTCAATGCAACAGTAGTTGCACAGTTAAGGTGCTAAAAGAATTTTCAAAGGAAAGGTATAAACCTGATGCTTTTTGAGTGAAATTGCGTTGAATTCTGTGGGAAGCGGAGGTTCAGTGAAGCCTCCCTTCCTCAACGGCAAAAAAGAGAGCTCCATTCACGACACAGCGCCACGAATCAAAGAAGCGGCTAATCCGCCAAAGAAAGAAGCCACCAAACGAATATTCGTGGCGAATTCCTTCGCGTGGTTTCACTTATATCATTTTCTTTTCCTCCATTACATTTTGATTCTTTTCCAAAACTAGTGGTGCACTGCACTGGGACTTAAACCACTATTCAGCAACTAGTCAAGGCGAAATTAGGAAAAAAAAGAAACTAAAAATTGGTAATGTTATGAGAACCATGAGATACGAAAGAGCCATACTGAAAATAAGAAACCTAATTATTTTCATACAATTGTAGCTTCTCGTCTAACACCCTAAATCTAATAGTGCACACTCCAAGACAGCGCATCTCTGGTAATGTGCCCTCTACACTATGCCGCTCCTAAATACCGAAACAGACATGGTATGTGTCTGAGACTTATGGACTGTGTCTGACTCGTATGTTTTCTCGTTGAAACGGAGCAATGAACACGAACCTGTTAACGCAAACTAACAGGTTTCCAATGGGTATGCGTAAGCGAAATAGATTGGAATATTCGGCGAAAAATGCCTCAATAATCTGATTAATGCCAGCCATTAAATTGCATATAATAAATGTCAGAATCATTGCGAATGCCATTAGTGTACAGCGACGCTCCTTCTCATCCAGATTTACCGGATTCTGGCGATTTGTCAACGAACGGCGAATGCGATAGGCGTGCTGCACCGCACGGATCACAATAACGTTCAGGACAATCATTGTTGTCCAGGGAATGATGATCAGCAACAATAGGTAGCCGTAGGTATTGTAAAGGACAATATAAAGGCCGCTGGTGCGTAACGATGTCGGCGCCAAACGACCGCATTCGTCCAAAGTTAATTCGAATACGGATGGCAATTTGTAGACGAATGATATGGTTGCAATAACAGATAGCACCACCTTGGCACGTGACGTTGAACACCAGACGCGCGTACGGAACGGATATTTCACGGCAAGATACCTGCAAAATGTATTACACAAATGTAGTCAGATGCGGAGGATGATGGCGAGCGATCATCTCGCACCCAGCTGGTTATTCATCTGCACTGCTTGTTTCAGTTAGATAAAGTGGCTCAGGTGCTCCAGAGGCCAGTTCTTGAATGCGATGTAGAACTGCGGATTTCTCTTCGGTCGCTTATTTTTACAGTAGTTTATTTGGGATCTGATAATTGATACAGAGGAATAATTCACAAAAGAACATTGAAATATTGGAAGAAAACACATCTTTGTAAAACAATTTTTCCATGGAAACCATAAAAAGACAATGTTCTGCTTTGGCCCCAACTCGCTGCACATGCTTTTCTGTTACTAGTCTTTTTTACAGTAAATTCTGCTTTTAAAATTGTCATAATCTTCTGTCACCTTTCTAAGACCTTTGCAGAAAAGCTGTACTGGAGGCTCAAATTAAGCGCAGCCGCCATTTTCGCTTCCCTCGATGAAAGAAGTATGTTCTCAAAATTTCAACAGGCTAACTTTTCGCAATTCCGGAAATAAAGTGTCCGGCTAGAAAGGCACATACACACTTGCATGCACAAATAAACTTAGCACAATCGGTTTTCACTCGCGAAAATGCAAAAACACTTAGACCAAAAATTTTTCAAAAATAAGTCTTGATTTTTCAGAAACTTTTTATAGACTGAGATCCCTGATAAAATATAGCGTTTCTGATTTCGTTAGCTTCTATTTAGTAGATTTTTCTTTTGGAAAAAGTATTGCCAATTGAGTAGATAATATCAGATTGATTTCCTCTAATGTGTTTTGTGCGGAATTTCAGAATACATTGTCGCTAAAGCTTTCTCATCTTATTCAAGAAAATTTGAATTTTCTCACCGCTAAGTGTTTGTCTATGCACCCTTAGCTTGTGACCACTTTTGGGATGTGTGCATAATTAATGTGAATATCTATGAACTAGAAAATTTGATGACTGTTCCTATGCTGATTTTAGAATAAAGTATAATCGTATACTTTGTACTTTTAGAATAAAGTATAAAGTATAATCGAAAACATGCACTTGGATTTTCACTCTCTTTCAAACTATTACTGTAAACAAAAAGTTGAAGATTTTTATTCCTCATATTTATTACTAGCGGTGCTCCACAGAATAAAAAGTTGAAGATTTTTATTCCTCATCTTTATTACTAGCGGTGCTTCACAGAATAATGTTTCGAGCCCTCTTCCGTAGAGAAGAAGTAAGGATGGTATAGCAGCTGACTTTCCAACTTATCCATGCGTCATTTCTGGGACATTATGCTCATCTCAGCTAAAACAATAGCTTCCACGCTTTCTTATAGCCTACAGTAGCTGTATTTAGGAATTGTTGCGAAAATGGATGGTTAATCTCCCGATCAACGAAATACCTTTCTTCGTTTGGGTTTACTAATCCACACTATGGCAGTCAATTCAGCAACACCATGCTGAATTTCGGTCTGACAACCAGGACGATGATATTAAATTTTGGCTTGACAAAACACGCTGAATGAATTGTTAAAGTAGCAAAAATTAAATTCCATAGCTTTTTCCACACCATCTAAAAAGCCTTGCAGGTATGCTCCGAGCCATAGCGGTTCGTGCATGAGCTGTAACAGCATGCAAAATTTTTCTTTTTTTCCTTTAGTTTTAGCTTCCACGTACTGCACTTTGTCTGTGAATCATTTTCGCCTAAAACATGCAAAAATTTTTCGATCCGTTGTAAGGCGATTTCATTCATCTATGTAGGGCAGCTTCTGAATGCGGCATGGAATAATATCATTTCCATGAACAGCAGTATCCACTTGGCAGCTGCACCTCGCCGACGCCATCGAAGGGTCCAGTTAAGAAGTGAATAAAATCAGCAAATTGTTCGGTACCTACCGATCAGCAGCAATAGCAACACACGTCCACACTGATGAAGTTTGTGCCGCGAGTGATATTGGATAACTGACTAATGTTGTTTTCCAGAAAAATTCACAGACAGCGCCTTGTTGCTGAAAGTTGATAAGCACCAGTAAATTTACTGTAACATGAATGGGCGTTTTGGGTGGTGGAGGAAGAGGAGAGGTTGATGAGGAAAAGTGATGTTCCATTTACTTTGCCCTGGTACTAAAATCACCAGTGCGGGGAAAAGCTGTAAAAAATTTAGCTGAACAAACGCGGGGACCAGGCTGGAAATATAAAATCGATAAAAAAGGTGCGAAATTTACAAGAAATTGAAAAATTTTATAAAGGAATGCAGGGACCTAGCAAGTGAAGCACCAAAATTCAGTTCAAAAGTGCTAAATCTCGTCAATGGATTCAATAATATTAAGATGACGTATTAAAAATTTTACAGACTGTCTGAATGGGACAGGGCTTCAAAAATTGGATGCTCTCCTTTTTATCGGATATTGAATGTACCAGCAATAATTCTTCTATTCAGAGAATGAGCTACATGCGTTGGATTGAACTGATTTTCAAGTGTCCGCAGTCTATTCTGAGCGAACAATCATACTCAACTTTTTTTCTTGGCTCACGCCACTCTCTTTTCTTCTAATCACCATTCATAGCCTCTCTTTGATTCACTTTTTTCGAATCCGTTTTATATTAATCCAATATTGCAAGCCAAAATGACTCGTGATTTTTACACAGAAACAAATTTAGTGCATGGACGTTGTACTTTCTGGTCAGTGAATGCACGAACGAATACAGTCGAACATTGTAACTGCAGAACGGAAGCAGTCCGCGAGTCGATTTAGTAGATTTGACTTTCTGACTTCTGTTACAGATGAATGCCGAAAAAGCCACTGGTTGTGGTTACAGATACTGATTGCTCCTTCTCTACTCAACATATCGAGATTAATATTGCTCCCTTGGTAGCTGTTAACATTTAGCAAGAGCCTGTGCATCTCCCATAAATACCATTCTACCTCAAAGCTTGATGTGCTTGCTACAAAATCTGTTGCAGTAACTGCACTGCATCTAGGCAGATGACCTATTTTACTCAAGCACTTCTTTCGCTACTGCTTAAACTTTCGTCAGAATTTCATTGCTATTTCCCCTTTTCTCCATATTCAAGGCTCGGTTCCAAAATCTCGTTATCGGGGGGTTAGGAACGCACTAATGTGCGAGTCACGCAATGCACCCTCCTCATTACAAAAGGCGCCTTTTGTTAAGGCTATTTTAACGATTTAACAGAGGGCTTTAACTGAAGCTGTGATGATATCACTGCTCACTTTCCATAATTATCTTCGAAAATGGCGGGTTAATGAGCTGTCATAATTCACATTCAACAGCACCTACTCCCCTTCTTTTTGCTCAGTGATTATTAACGTTCTCGCTCAATCAATTTTGTTAAAATGAGGCTAAAAAGTGCCGGCATTTCCTAAAATACAATTTTTACATGAAAAAAAAAAGAAATGATCAAAGTTCATGTAATCTATACCAAGCTGCCCCTCTCTGGCAGCAAAGGACTGAATTGTATACGGCCTTGCATATGTATGAATTTACGTGATTATATGTTTACGTACGTGTACATCTATGGTTTGGTTTTTTTTTTTTCTATCCTTTGTATATTACTATCTCTATATGTGTCCGCTCTCACTCCTTAATGTTATTCACTTTCATCTGCTGATTTCCACATATTTCGCCTCTGTAAGGTTTAATAGTTCAAGGGCATGATCCTCATTGCACTGAAGCAGGCATGATTGTGTGATATGCAATCTAGTCAAGTGCAGAGCTGTTGCAGATTTGCAGTAGATTAATGCGCTCATACAGCTTAATAATCTTATGGCCTATACAGCGCATAAAAATGCAACTAAATTTAACTAAATGACTTAATCCGTCCTGAAATTAACAACTTCAATATGCATTAAGCACACTCCGCTGCATTTTAAATTCGGTTTGTGCGACTCTGAAACTCAGCCTGTCATTGCTTCACGAGTTTTGGCGTTTTTTTTTTTTTGACGAGGGCGGGTGAGGAAGGAGGGGGGGAGGATAGGAGGGATTCTAGGAGAGGGAAAAAAGAGGGGAGGTTTGAGATATTTATCCATTTTTCTCGAAGGACGATCAGTTTGGCTATATGTAATACGTGGAAGGACACATTTACACTTCTCGGCTGTTTTCGTTACCAGTCCAAACAGTTTTGTCATTTTTTACAGTACTGTATTCTGCATCTCTGAGAAAAAATTTCGTCATTCGTTGATGAGACTTGCAGGCTAAACTACCTTTTGTTGTTTTTCAGCTAAGTTTCTCCCTTCTTAGTTTTACTCCCTTTCTTTTCCAAAAAGTCGATTTTCATCCTTTCAAAAGTAAAAGAAAGTAATAGCTTGGGTGCACCAGCGAGCCACATATGTAAAGTTAAACTAAGGCTCAGTGATACAGAATCCTTCTTGGATCCTTATCCAGGGCTTCCTTTGCACTAGAAATCTTCAAATTTCGTCGTGAACGTTATTGATTGTAGCGAGGAAGTAGTAAACAGGTCTGGTTATGTTAAAAATCTCAAATATTTCCAGCGGAACAAAAAATTTAGCACACAACAAATCTATTCTTATCGAGTGTCTAGTTAAAGTCAACAATTCAATCGTTTTGGATTGTGCAACGCCGAGACGTAACCACTGTACAGGAAATGACCTGACAATCTTGCAGCACTTGCTGGGCAGAGCCGAAAGGATTTGCACAGGCTGATATGATGCGGCCATCTTTCAGATTAAATCAACCTGAAATCTCCTCCTCGTGTCTGATCTCTATAAAATGGGGAAGCAATTGAGATGTAGCCCGAGTGGTAGCAAATGCCAGCACCAACCACTTGCTGACAACGCTACCAATGGCTCCCTCTGCCGGAGGTCACTTACAAGCAGTCTGGTTCACCATCCCCACCCTCCCCCTCCCCTTCCCCAGCAAGTGCCAGCACTAATTTGCTGCCTAAAGAAATAAACGAATTTTAGCTGTACTAGTTATCCAACGAGGCGAATCGAGGCCTCGACCTTGTACATCGTAACAGTGCTACTTCCCATTGTACCACTGTCCGCCAGCTTCAGATTTACAGCTAAAAAGTCAGCGTGAACAACTTTTTTAAATGGGAAAAGACACTATTTTGCTATATTAGATTTGTGAATAATATTGTTTGATATTAAACTCATTTTCTTGTGCTTTTGAAGCAAATGGCTCAATATCAATATATTAATGATGTAAACAAGAATATAGCCGTGAAACGGGGATGTAGCTATCTCTGCTGAAAGGGTGCCAAATTCAGCTGGTAAACGCTAATTTGCACTGTGCGGTGATAATTTTGATTGAAATCTGCTGATTTTAGCTAATAAATGAATCTGGCAAGCGGCAGTGGAAAATAGAGTGAGTATGGGTGATGTCCATTTCTAGCGAATGCTAAATAGGTACTTTCTAAAAAAACCACTAATCAGTTAACCAGTTATTAATAATTCAAGTCATAAAATCATGCTGTACTGTAGCACTAAACCGAATAACAAATCAGTGTTGTCAATGAGCATGAAATTTTGCTAAAAGAACACCTGTTTATTTTTTCAGAGGAAATTTGGAATTTTGCACATTTCCGTTTGGAAAGCATCAAAAATATTGAAGTCCCTGAATAAACTAAAATGCCAAAATGGAAATTTTATTGGCAACTCGGAAAAGCTCTTTTGAGCCCAACAGCGAAATGAGACACGCTTGAATGCAATCGGTTCAAAATTGCTCTGATCGGGGCTCGATAAATTGTGCAAAAAATTGGTAATGAATTGGTAATGACTAACATTGTTCTGTAAGCAAATTTGCATGGGTGGATAGATGAGGAGTGAAACGAGCAGCAGGATGAGATCGAAAAACGATAATCCGGCCAGGTAAATATTCAGTGATGAGCGCATTTGCGGACGCGTAAAAATGATAACACATATTAGGGCGGCAAATATACCGGCTGTGCAAACGATCGGCAGTACGGTGGTATAGATAATGTGCTGAGTAAGTGCAGCCAAGCTATCGGCTACAAATGCACGCCGCGGCTCCGGTACATAGCATCCTGGATGGTGCTGGTGATCATCATGGTCCATTGATGGTGATAATGAAGTGCTGCTTCACCGTACTCAGAATGATGGTGCACTTTTGTTCCAGTTCATTTCAGCAATCATTCCAGTCCATATCCTGAATAAATAGCAATGGCCATTCAATTTTCCGGTTGCTAAAAGCATGCTGATGGGCCAAAGCTCGGCCACAGTGAATTACTGAATGTACCAAGTGCCTAGTCTTAGTCCCAGTCCCGGTCCATTCACACCCATTCAATCCCAGAGCACCACCTACCATCACTCCCTTCTTCCTCATCCCTTCCCTAGCTCCACCTCCTCCTCACTTATAACCATTTGAATTCCAATTTCGCATCTCTAAAACAATCGCTAATGCCGTAATTATCGCTGCATTTTACACACAACTTTGCGCAGCAGAGAATAAGCACGCTTTGAATTTTTGCAACAGGTTCGGGTACAAAGTGCGCGAATGTGCCACCGGGCAGAAGAGTTAGCACATTTCGTAGTAATGACCTTTTGACCACCAAACACAAAAAAATAGCAAATTTCGTTCTCAAATTTCGCTCCCTTCTGGAGCCCCTTAAAAATTGCACGTAAGATGGTAGGACAAGAAATGAAGGAATTTGAAACACTGAGTTAATGTTTGCGGTTTGTACATGATTTGTGACTAGTACATCAAAATTCCAGGTCCCAACAGGTGCATTTTTCGATCCGTAAAACTCTGGATGAAATATGGACAAACTCTTGACAACAATACATTGGACTGGATACATCAGCACTTCCGGACTGCTTACATGTTTCCGTTTCGGCTGACTTTCGCTCTCCATCATCTCTTCATCCATTGCGCATCCGTACATGCTTACCCTCTTGAACTTATATAGCGGTGTTTAAGCTACATCTATTACGTTTGATTCGCACTCCAGAGCCAAATCAGCGCAATAGACGAGTGCAAGCAGCATCAGCTTTCCACAACACGTTTTGACTCATGCAAAAAAAAAAAAAAAAATGCAGAAAAATCTAAGTTAATAGCACTGCTCATTTATTGAAAGGTTTTGCTGTGAATACTGATTAATTTCGCAGACATTCTCAGTCCGTCCCGGTAGCATTTCCATAGAAATCTTAGAATTCATGCTGATTTCTTCTTCCTTTTCACTTTCACTTCCTTTCCTTGCTCTTTACTTCCTCTCTTACCCCCTCGTCGAACCTCCTTCCCTCCCCCCTTCTCCCACTCTCTCTCTTCCACTCAGTGTTTCCTCGCCACTCACATGTGAATTTCCCAAAAAAGAAAGGTATTTGTTTGTGATACAACTGACAGTGTTTTTGTTTGTGGAAGTAGAAACCATCATTCAGCAAATTTTTTTGACAAATTTTTCCTCACGCCAGAAATGCTTGAGAAACAAGCTAATGGGAATTTCAGTTCTTGAATAGCTAGCACGGATAACTATTTTATTAGAGAACCTAAACACAGAGTTGCTCTTTTCAGACGATGGACTTCAAAACAACACTGCAGTGGTAAAATGGGGAGTGATCTCATAATGCGCGCCATCACGCCGTTTCCGAAAACCATTTCACATTTTTAATGTTGCTTTAATTAAGTATTCAGACCGAATATTGCTCCGAATATATAGTTGACAAACAGATAACCAGGCAGATTCTCAAAACAAGAAAGATGGAGAATGATACTGGAGGAGGTTGGAGGCGATGAGAAAGGGGGAGGAAGAACTGTTGGAGAAATGAGCAAATTAATGGGAAGCGATGCAGCCAGGCATTTTTGCGAATAAGTGCGGGTAGACCAGCATGAAGAACGACTGGTGCCCCTCGAGAGTAATTTGGTACATCCGGTGATCGTAAGAATTGCAACTTTGTAGGTAACATTAGTTTCTACACGTGTGCATTTGTATCTCCGAATATTGAAGCCAGAAATTAGAAGCAATTAGCTGTGCAATGCAAGAAAAACAGCTTTTTCCGGACTCTATTTCAGAAAAAATTTTGCAAAATGGCCTAAAAGGCAATAAAATTTCCAATTTGCTTCACCCGTCGTTTCACATCTGACAGGATATTTTATAAAAAGCGGAGTATGTGGAAAAGGTCATCCGAATTTTGTGGTATTACTGTTTAGACTTATCGCATTCTTCGTTAATGAGCAGATCTGTTGGTGAAGGCATCTCATAAACAGATTGTTTTCCAATTTATGCGTTTTTCACAGTTAATTTATGCTAAAGAAAAGCGTAACAAGAAAAGTTACCAGCACGCCTGCGAGTACGTATTTCTGCCTGAATTTTTTCATTCTCAGAGCTACGAAAACTAAGAAACGAACTTAAGGGAGAAAATGGATAGAGGAAAAGAATAAAATTCAGTATGTACTGCGCCCTCCACTCGCATGTATTCATTCCAAGAGCACAGACCATTTAAGAGAATTTACTTTGTATTCTCTAAGAACTGGAGTCTGATAATGGCAATTGGCTTTACCTTCCATTCCGCATCCCGCCTCTTCACCGCTTCATTCCATTCCCGAGCAAAAAGGTCAGTGAACAAATGCAAAGGCCGAACTACCGAACTGATGAGCTGAAAACAGCAATCAGAAAAAGACAAAACGAAGCAGCTAATACAGAATCTCAAAAGCCATACTCAAAAGGTTTTATTCACCTTGCTTGTAACAGGGCACGCTTTTGCAGCAAAACCGATGATCGTCTGTTGCCTCATATCCTTATCTGCCGAGATTTATTGTCGAATATATGCAACACTACTTCGTTAACGTATCATTGTAACTGGCCAAAACAGAGTAGCCCAGCACTGGAACTTGAGTGTGAAGACTGACAACTCGAGAATGATTTGACACCAGAGACAGACGACTGGTGGCAATTCAAACTCCTACTGGCGAAATATGGGCTGTTGTTGTGCAATAATATTCCCCTGCGAAAACATTGAACACAAACAAAACAGTGCAAAATGGAGAGGATCAAAATCACAATCTCCAAAACACAAAGTATTCCAACTTTTCTAAAGATTTATGAAGATTTTAGTTTATTCAGCCAGCTCGCAACATCAAGTCTGCATCTCTCTCCACTTATTTCTCTGGAATTAATAGCCTCAATCTAGAATTCATAGCGAGCTTAAGGAAGTATTTGTAGAACTATTTACGAGGAACTTGTGAGGACTCATTATCACAGTGAGCTGAGCATCTGAGTGAGGAGTAGTCTTGAAAAAAAATCATTGCCTTGAGGTTTTGTGGTTATGGTGAAAGAGCCAGGAAATGAATGAGGAGGAAGTAAGTAGAGGCTTGGTTACGTCCAAGATACGCAGAGCAAGCGTTTTGTCGCGCTAGCCGCTGTAATAACTTTGGATCAGTATCAGCTTTAAAACACGGTTGCCTTTCGATTTAATTTTGGTAAAGCACGGAATTATTCCCGAACATTGTTCTTGGTGGCATTCTAAAAACGGCCAATTAATTAATTCTCTTGTGTGACATAAAATTGGCAGAAAAATTCAATACACACTTCTGAATTGGAAAATTTAATCAAAAATATTAGGATGCAATCGATATTAGCAAAAAATTATCATTTTTTCTCAAAAATTGTTTGCT